GGTCAAAGTATAAATGTTCGCAGATTAATCAAGAACAAGATTTCTGTACTCACGGATGGTGATGGCGCTTGTGCAAAGCTAGGGGATGGAGAGATCGAGCTAGGTGGGAGAGATACCAAATCACGTCGAAGGAAAGAGGCCTTCATAGATTGCATTTTCTGCATTTGCTCACGATAATGACCGCCGGAAAACTGAGCCGCCGGCGAAGAACTCTCTCCGTACACCTGAATTGTGATAAAACTAGCCAGCCCCATTATCATGGACCATAGTAGGGTTCTTCTTGCCATCTTTACTTCCATCTCTTAAAGGATTACACTTTAGTGATTGATCCTGGAAACATTCTGGTTATATAACGAGAGAGAGAGAGAGAGAGAGAAGTACAGGACATGGAAAGAGAAGGGTCTAACTAAGATTTCAAAGAAAATGGCTTGAAGTTATATCTTATTGGATCATACAAACAACACCCAGAGGGCAGAGGGTGATCCAGGACCGTTTTGGTGTCTATATATATCGAGTTTCTATAGGACCTGGTTCTGAGCATTTTGAATAGTTTCTTTCTGACAGAAAAGTCATTGAGCAGTGACCAACTTCTTACTTCAAGGATCCGACAAGTTTGACATTATGTAAAAGGTATCTCTTCTGTCTTCTGGGTAGTTGTAAAAGGTCTTTTCTTAACATAGAAAAGTTTTATTTTCAAGCGATTAAATCTTTTTCGTTTAAAATTAAATTTAGAGTTTAAATGATATGACAGTTGATTATTTGAAATTTTTATTGGACCTAAATAACATAACATCAATCAAATAAGTTCAAGTCAACTGTCATGTCATTTAAATTTTAAATTTAATTTTAAAATTTAATCAATCCAACATTACTCGTAAAAAATCACCTGAGGGCGATCGGTAGTTTATAGGTTCATGATTGGAATATCTTGTTGTTTAAGATTTCTTGATAATTGGATGTACATTAAGAAGAGTACACAGAGTTCAGCTAAAAAGATTTTAATTTGGGCGAATTATATTTTGTGTCTCGAAAGATTTTAAAATTTTTATTTTGCACCTTTAAAAATTATATTTTTTACATTATACCCCTAATGTATCAAAAATTTTATAATGTGACCATTATAATTTATATTATTTTTTCAGTCAATAGTAAACTCATTAACACTAACAAAAAAACTAATAAAAATTAACAGAAAAGGTCACATTAAAGTATTTTTAATAAATTGAAGGTACAATACAAAAAATTTAATCTTTAAAAAAATAAAGTAAAAATCTTAAAAAAATTTTGGGCACAAAGTGCAAGAAACCCTTTAAATCTCTTCAACTACACCCTTCCCCAAATTTCTTTAGTTGCATAACTATGTTATGTTTCAAGCAGGACCCACGATATAAAATTGTTTTGTTTTTGTGAGAGAGAACAGTAAGGAGGGACTAACTTGTTTCAAGAGGAATTCTCTATGGAGCAGTTTGGTAAGTGGGATCGGGGGATTTTAGAAGATGGATTAGGAAAAAATAGTTTAAATAACACATAAAATTTATGTTTGGCCAAAAATTTAAAACTTGAGTTACCAAACCCGGCCCCCTATTGGTTAGGACACTAAACCCTAGATTATGGTTTTCATCAAACCCATGAAGAGTGGGTTTCAGTTGAGGGTTAATGGATTCAAGATACAAAAAGATAATTATACCCCATACGTATATAAATATGAATTCGGATTAGATTAGTGAAGGGGCACAATAGTCATTTATTGTGATATATCCGTTGACATATCGAACATGAGTATGAATTGAATTTAATGTTAAATCTCATCTTTGCAAAGAGGGATTTGAATTTAAAAGAGTTTAGACAAGTTAATTCAAACTCATCCCAAAAATCCATACAAAGAGCCCCAACAAGTTTGACATTGTGTAAAAGGTGTTCTTTCTTTGATGGGTGTAGAAGGCATAGCTTTTTCGGTAAAAGGCATATATTTCCTAAGAAAGAAACTTTAACGAATCAACTTCAGAAGGTTTGGGATTTTAACAAATCACTCTTCCGCCGAGCCGCCCACACTCTCCCTTGGGTACCTGCCAACCTATTCCTCCTTCATTGTTGTGCCGAACCGACCTAATGCAGCATTAGCAGCTGACCGGGAGGCACTACAAGCTACTCGTGGGAAGGCACCCCGAGGAAAAAAGAGGACTTCTCAAACGACTTTAGGACGCAAATCAATCAACCTTTTAGATTTCTTAACCGCAGATGAGACGGCTCCGACCAGTGATCCGACCCCCTCAGCTCCTGAACCTAGGATCGTTGGAACAAATGAGCCGATCCTCGAGTTCATACCCGAGGAGACACTTCTTGAAGCAGTTGATGCAAGTCTGCCCTTTCTTGACCAAACTAATTTAGCGCAGGTTCTTGAAACTTCTTTACCAATTGAGACTGATCCTCCAATCAATGTTTGTTCCCCCGATTGAAGACGACGATTCAGTTTTTGAAATTGCCAAGGACCAAGCTCCAAAAAGACATAAATCAGCCAAATCAGATGCCCCCTCCTCACTAAGGCCAACTAGCGCCCCTTTCCGCCCAATTCTTAGGGTCAAAAGAAAAGAGATCACTTCAAAGGACTCGACAATCGAAGATTTTAATGTCGCAGTTGGTATTGCCAGAGGGGTCATCTTGCCTCGTGCCCTTGCTAAGAACGAGGCACTGACAGATGATGAAGTATCCCGACAGGCTATTCAGCATATGGTTTTGGTGAGTCTTTTCTTCCTTTGGATTTCCCTTTCTTTTGAGCTTCTTACTACTTCAAAAATGTTTCTAAGTTATTTCAATCTCTTCATCTTCAAGGGCCTTCAAAAATTTCATGAGATCGGAGCTNTTTTAAGTTTCTTACTACTTCGAAAATGTTTCTAAGTTATTTCAATCTCTTCATCTTCAAGGGCCTTCAAAAAATTCATGAGATCGGAGCTCGGATCGCTCGTAAAGACAAGGCAATGAAAGATGTCATACATGCCCGAGCTTCGGCCCTTGCCAAGAAAGAGAGCGTTGATGAAGAATATGTGAAAATTTATGAAGAAATGAAGGTTCTCCAGGCTAAAAACCAGAGCCTGACTGAAGAGAACCTGAAGTTTTTAGCTGAGAATGAAAAGTTGAAGGCGGCCGAGCACGAGAGCAATGTCGAACTCTCATAGGTCCAACTCAACTACGCCTCCCTCCTTGAAGAGTTTGATAAATATAAAGTGGAAGCTGAGGAAAAGGCAGATGATGCTTACAATGAAGGTGTTGACAAGNCCACTACGCCTCCCTTCTTGAAGAGTTTGATAAATATAAAGTGGAAGCTGAGGAGAAGGCAGATGATGCTTCCAATGAAGGTGTTGACAAGGCAGAGGCTGATATCGCCCAGCAGATGCCAAAGCTTAAAGAGGCATTCTTCAGCCAAGGCTGGCAGGCTTGTTTGGTCGTTGCTGAAGTCAATCCCTCCTTCGAACTTTTCTCCAAGCACCCTTCTCCGAGCTCGTCCTTGCCTCCCTCCTAAAAACTAAGATTTTTTGTTCTCTTTTTGATTCCTCTGTAAAACAGTTTTAATGAAAAATCGTAATGTTTCTATTTAGTCGATTCACTTTGATGAATGCTTAAATAACATATTTATGCCTTAGAAAATATTTGAGTCTTTGAAGTTATGCACATTGCTTGGCCCTCTTCAAAGAGCTCGATTCTTTTTTAAGAACCCATTTTTATACTTAAAAAATAATAGGGTCTTTAAAGTTATGGCCCTTGTTCGACCCTTTTCAAAGAGCTCGGTTCTTCATTAAGAACTTCTCTTATACTTGGTAGATAATAGGGTCTTTGGAGTTATGGCCCTTGCTTGGCCCTCTTCAAAGAACTCGGTTAAGCTGTAGAGTTGCTCCGAGTTCACTAGAGGACTAAGAGACTTTCTACTCGGCACCGACCCGCCAACCTAGTTGGACTCAAACTCATCCCTAGTCGGCTTACATCGTCATGCCTAGTCAAGGGACTATGTCTGATCGGGTGGCTGCGCTTAATTTAACCGTACACTTCTATCAGGGTTTTTGCCTCCCTGCCTTGGCAGTAGGATGTGTACAAATGGAATACGGATGAAGAAATCTTCAAACAATTTTATTAATAATTCTGAACTTAGTACACTATCAATCGCAAATCACTTCTTAAGGGACACCCTTAAATTTCCAAAGGCACTTTGGAGTTCTTATCTATAAAAGGTACTTTTTAGAAATAGAACTTTCTAAGATTAGCAATGTTCCAAGAGCGTGGTACTGCTTTCCGATCTAAGGTCTCTAACTCGTAGTACCCACTGCCCCCAACTCTGGATACTCTGAACGGACCTTCCCAGTTTGCTCCGAGCTTACCATGTGCTGGGTTTTTAGCCTACCCAAGTACGCGTCTAATAACTAGATCGCCAAGTGTGAAGGATCGGGGGTTCACATTCTTGTTGTAAGCCTGGGAAATTTGACTATGATATGAAGCCATTCTTATGGCAGCCTGTTCTCTCTTTTCCTCAACTAAATCAAGATCATAAATGAGGACGGCATTGTTGGTGTTGTTTTCGACAAGCTCGATCTTCAAAGTTGGTAAGCCGATCTCTAAGGGAATGACAGCTTCCATTCCATATGCCAAGGCGAAGGGAATTTCTCCGATTGATCGTCGAGGTGCGGTTCGGTACGTCCACAGAATGCTCGGCAGCTCCTTTACCCATCTCCCTTTAGCATTCTCAAGCCTCTTCTTGATTCCATACAAGATTATTTTATTAGTATTCTCTGCTTGCCCGTTGCTCTGAGGGTAAGCCGGGGGTAGAATAGTGGTTCCGAACTCCATATTGCTGACAAAAAGCTTTGAAGGGAGCACTGTCAAACTGTGTGTCATTGTCTGAAACAAGAGTGTGCGGGATGCCGAACTTGGTGATGATATTTTTTCACACGAACTTTCTTGTATCAGTATCTCTTATATTAGCCAGTGCCTCGGCTTCAACCCATTTAGTGAAAATAATCAGAGGCAACTAGAAGGTACTTCTTGTTGCCCGGGACCTAAGGTAACGGTCCCACAATATCCAATCCCCACTGCACAAATGGCCACGGGCTCGACAAGGAGAGCAGTTCGTTGGATGATTTTCTCAGGATCGGTGAGAATTTTTGACACTTCTCACATTACCTAACAAATTTTTCAGCGTCCTTCTGCATATATGGCCACCAAAACCCCTGGGAGATGGCTCGGTGAGCAAGCGACCTTCCCCCTGTGTGAGCTCCGTAGCATCCCTCATGTATTTCGAATAAGAAATCTGCTA